GTGGAACATAGCACCTGTCATTGTTTCTTTAGTATGTACACTTATATGCATCTGGATAGTCATGTTGCAATTTGCTGTCAAAATCATTGTGAGCTATCATGCTTCAGTATCCCTGGGATTAATATTATCAGTTGTACAGACCTAAACTACCATTTGTTTTAAACACCATTCATTAACCAACTTTTCTGCCTTAAATTTGTCAAACTGATTGCCATAACTTGTATGAAAATGTAATTTTTGTAAAATAAATAGTTTTTAAAATTTATATATTTATTTAAATTTTCATTAAAATTGAATATATCAATATTTTTTAATTTCAAGAATATTTTCAGACAGGCCTTATCAAGTATTACAATTAGGTTTTTACTGCATTGAAAAATTCCTATAATTAAGGAAGATACAGCAAATTTAGTTTTGGTTTCTTAAGAACAATTGGATCCCTATAGAACACCAGCACTACACACTTTCTGATAGCTGTCACGTGTTTTTCTTGCAAGGAAATTTCAAAAGACTTTATGTATGAAGTTGAAATAGTAGTGGCATGCAAAAAAACAGTTTGACAAAAACATTTACCCTTTCAGGAATCAGTACACAATTAATAAAACCCGGTTCAGTACCCACGAATGTAGTCCCAGTCTATTTTTAGATCACTTTTTCCTGTCAAAGTTTGGTGGTGATACTAGAGTAAGAGTTTGGCATTCTTGGTAAGGATTTAAAGGCAATTATTTATTCTTTAAAATGTGAGCTTATGGTGTGGTTGTCTGTGTGTATTTCGGCGACAGTGCACATTGAGTAATAAGGTTATGGTGATGATCCGGAAGTGAAATCTGTGTTCCGTTGCCTGGTGTTTTGTTTACAATTCAGCCTCTCAAAAAAATGCAGGTCAACCCTTGACAAGAACTAAACCGTAAAGTCATCTTTGAAGGTATTTTAGATTAACATATGATTTGTATTGATTGTCACACAGTGGAAAGTTCAGTACTGACAAACAAATGTAGAGAAAATATAGTGAAATTAATTGTGTACTATGGCCAACAGGCATATAAATGGCCATAGAACAAAATTAATTTGACTATATATTTTCTACATTCGTTTGTCAGTACTGAACTCTCCCCTGTTTGACAATCAATACAAATCATATATTAATCTAAAATACCTTCAAAGATGACTTCACGCTTAAGTTCTCGTCAAGGGTTGACCTGCAATTTTTTGAGAGGCTGAATTGTAAACAAAACACCTTGCAATGGAACACAGATTTCACTTCCGGTTCATCACCAAGGCCTTGTCACTCACTGTGCACTGCCTCGGCAATACACACAAACAACCACACCATAAGCTCACATTCTAAAGATTAAACAATTACCTTTAAAGCCCTACCAAAAATGCATCAATAAAACTCCTCTATCACCAACATAATGTGAGAGCAAAAAAGGGTACTGAACTGGAAGTACTAACTGTGTACCGATTCCAAATACTCAGTGTCAAGTAGAAACGATGTTTCAATGCGCAGCTCTGAATTGTGTGAATAAAAGCAGTTCCCGACAAATATTTTTTTTCTTCACATTTTTATAGGACCCTAAAGAGTGATTTGTACGGGCGATCAAATTAAAGAAAGAAGGGATTTATTACCGAGATATTTCGAGCATGAAAGTTTTTCAAAAGAGCAGAGACTCTTCAAACTATTGGGTCTGTGCCAAAACGTTAGCGTTTGAAGCCTGATGCAGTGCCGACTCTTTTTTTTTAAAAAAAATATTTTCTATTCTGATAACAAAACAGAAGGCGGGAAGCACGCCGGCGAGTCGTAGTCGACATATGCCAGGGAGCATCACAGGAGTCTGCAGTTTTATCAATAAAGCACGACGAAATTTCTGACTACATCAAATTTTGTCGTGCTTTATTGATAAAACTGCAGACTCCTGTAGGAGCATTAAGGACTCAATAATTCAGGAGCTCCGTCAACGTTTCAATACCTGAACGTGTAATTTCAGCCAATAAAGTTTAAAACCTCAGTAGCTTCTGATATTTTATTTTGCCATTACACACATACATTCTCACATATTTCTAGAACTGTCAAAGGTTTTCAGATTCATCAGTCAGAAGCGAGAATACATGAATCATGTGAAGGTTTCAGATGAGATATCTTGCGAATCGTGCTCACTAAACATGATGGTAATATTTATATTTTTTGTTTCCTAGTATATTCTACACCCTACGGAAAAATCGTCTATATGATATGTGTCGGTAGACTCTAAAAGGACAAAATTTAATGAATAGTATAGTTAGTACACATAATTTCACAACAATTCAATCACTTTATACATGGCTACGTGGTATTTATTTTTTAACAGATTGGTTTATGGAGCCTTGGAAGAGGTGGGGATGTAACATGTGCTCTCTCTCTCTCTCTCTCTCTCTCTCTCTCTCTCTCTCTCTCTCTCTCTCTCTCTCTCTCTCTCTCTTCTCTCGCACACACACACACACACACCACCACCACCACCACCACCTGGACTTGCGCAATTGGTACTGTTAAATCATTAAGTGGTTAGTGCTAGTACTGGTCTGCCTGGTGTCAATATAATGTGAATCTGTGGGGGACAAGATGTTATATGCAGTATTAAGCTCCAAGTGCCAGACATCATTACAAACTGTCACAATACAGAAATTGTAGCTATATCTATCAAAATGTTAAAGCTACCTCTCTCTCTCTCTCTCTCTCTCTCTCTCTCTCTCTCTCTCTCTCTCTCTCTCTCTCTCTCTCTCTCTCTCTCTCTCTCTCTCTCTCTCTCTCTCTGACACTAAAAAAAAATATTGTCTCCCTTGAAATGACATGGGAAACCTTAGTACATCTTTTTTTTTTAAAATTTGCGGTTATATTTTTGGCCGCAATAAGACTGGCGTCAATGATAATGTCCTGCAACATGTAGTTTTTATAAAATGGCATATTGTTTCAGGTCTATAATAACCTCAGTAAAGCGGAAGTCTTTCAAAACTGAAACATAAGTTTGGTCCAAAGGGTTTTCGGTTTTGAGACGATTTTGAACAAAGTTTTAATTTGCTATTATATATGCTGAGAGGACTATGTTCATATTTGAAATGAATTTTTGTGATGCGAAGTCAACACATTCATCACAAACTCGCTCAGCCTTCTGAACATGGGGTCAAAATGACCGTCATAACAAGTTCGAGTGATGACTTCGATTGACATTATTCATATTCTTATATTTGCTACAGGAGTTAAGATCATGGCTAAAGACGATATACGCTCAGGTACTGTTTCAAGTTCGTCATTTTTACACACATATTATTGGAATAATTATTAAATGATTTTTAATAAAGCTATTTTTGTTCTGCAGCATACAAACTCACGTCTTTCTCCTGAAAATTGAGGTTACAATAATATATTTTCATTCATATTTTGTTCGTTACGACTTTTCATTTGCTTATATTTCATAAAGACACCAATACATCCCTTCCTATCTGGAATTAATTTTTATAAAGCAGGGACAGTGATTGTATCTGATTTGTGGTCATTTTTATTATTTCCTTCTTAGGATTACGGTTTGAGTCATAGGAAATTTGATCTTTACTACTGTTTGATGTATATTTTCTACATGTATGCAGCGTGGGATACTTGTTAAATTATTATAAAGAAAATATATTTATTGGTAAAAACTCATTCGCCTGATCGACCTTTCCAAGTTTTAACAAACGTTGTTGGTGTTGTTATTGTGGTTGTTTGTTTTCTGTTTTTGTTTTTGTTTTTTGTTTTGCCTTACATTTTAAGCATCTGATTGATCATGTTCATTCTTGACTCGAATGGTTACCAATTAAAAGCAATAAACCTTTATCACAATATCATGTTCGACTTATATATGCATATTCTCTAATGCTTGTGTCATTATTATTATGATTATTATTATTATTATTATTATTATTATTATTATTATTATTATCATTTTTTATTATTATTATTATTATTATTATTATTATTATTATTATTATTATTATTATCATCTTTATTATTATTATTATTATTATTATTATTATTATTATTATTATTATTATTATTATTATTATTATTATTATTATTATTATTATAAGTACGCATATGTGTGAAAACTTTGATAACAATGGTAGAAGGAAACAGCAAAACAAATTTCTGATCTAGCATGTTTTATTTTCATTTCGTAACGAGAGATGGGAGCATAGTTTTAAAGCCCGGCCTGACCTGCTCGAGAATTTTAGTGCTGAAAATACTCTTTATTTTCTCTACTGTATCCATAGATAGTGTATGGTTTGTCCGTGGATGTTTTCTGATAATTGGCGATTAAATCCGAAGCGTGCCGTTGGAACAAACCTACATTGTAACAACAAATAAAACAAGCAATACTCGTAAAATTTATGACGTCAGTAATAAAAAATTTGCCAAAAATGACTTTAAAAACTTGAATCCTAACCGTCTTGTCCCACCGATGAACATTTATAAACTTTCATTGAATCCAGGTATTGCTTTCACATGAGTAACAGCAGGACCTCTTCTGCTAGACTGATCGAGATTATAATGAAAACGCATATGCAAAACACAATTGAAACAAGAAATGACAGATAAATTATTATGCGAAGGAAACTTATAAAAGTGGATAAAGTGGATATAAAAAGTGGATATTTATCGTTACTTTGCAGTTTATAATAATTCTAGATGAAAATGTTTTTTCTTCTTTAAAAATAAGTGTTTGCAAACTATTTATTCTTTGACCTATTTTTTTTAAAATAATTTTCTCCCATTTAAAGAAATAGTCGGAATATTGAATATGTGGAAAATACGAAGGCAATCGACATTTAGAGTTTTTATTTCTTTACTTGTACAAGCACCCAGCTTATGCTCGGTTATTTTATAAGTGGGGTTTTCAATTTAAAGAAATTGGGGAACATGACATGACACTTCACGCAGACAAGGTGTTTCGGTGCAAATGCAAGTGTCCTTCGTTGAAACTGTGAGGGACCGCTCCGGTGGCCTAGTGGTTAGAGCGTCTGCCTTGTATGCGGAAGGTCGTGGATTCGAACCCCGGCCGAGTCATACCAAAGACTTTTAAAAATGGTACTAACAGCCGCCTCGATTAGCTCTCAACATTAAAAGGTTAGTGTTAGGACTGGTCGGCCTGGTGTCAGGATAATGTGACTGGGTGAGACATCATGCCACATGTCTGCGGCATGATGCCCCCAGGGTTCGATATAACTATAAACTGTCACACTGCAGACATCGTAGCGAAATGACTGAAAAATTGTAAAAGCTACGTTAAAAATCTAAATCAAACTCACACAATCTGGGAGTTAAAGAACTATGTGCAATACACTGTCTGTCAATATTGTGTAATGCATATCACAGTTTAGAATAGCATGTAGTTATATAGTGTTTACCCGTGCTAAAAATGTGATGATACCGGCATGGATGATTACATAATATTTGCTTCTTGTATCGGTAAACAGTCAGCAAGAGGCATGAACAAAGCAGAAAATAAAGGAAGGCAACACTTTATTGAAGTGATATTTATCAGATATTTATCACTTTCACAGGCAATACAAGATATCAGTTATAGGGCTGGATCGTAGGTATGAAGATTATGGTGAGCACAGCAAAATAAAATCAATCAGAAGTAAGAGGGTGTAAGTATAAAGCGCGTGCTTAAGTCAAAGATTGGCTCACTGTAAGAACATCAGAGCCAGTTAAGACATCACGTTCTAAACCTCATTTCCAGCACCATACATTTGCTAGGTGACGGAAACTGCCCGACCTTTAATAGTAGCGGGGTAGGGTCAACGTGGTTATGAAAGACTACCGTGCCAAAAATTATGAGCTCTTAGCTGACGCATACACGTACTTTTGGTCGCGTCGAAACGTTCTTTAGCAGCTGATTTACCAAGGGCTACAATCTTGAAGTAGAGCAAAGATTGTCCCACTTTTGAAAACTGTTCTCATGACCAAGTTGACACCAGCCTTTGGGAAGAACTTGGTGTACCTGTAGAAGTGGATCCTGATTTAGGCCCGAGAGTGAGAAAGTCAAGCTGCGCTGACTGCGGACCCGGAAATACAGGTGCAGAAAATATTTGGCAGAGACCTAGTTGCGGGTCATATCATTAAAGCTAACCTGGAGTTATTCTATATTAGGCAGGCGAACCTAGATCTTAACATGCCCCTAACGAGATTGTTTATTACAACCAAATTAAAGCAAGAGAAGGTATAGGGGAATTGAAAATACCCCTGACATTTTCCACATGTGTATGAAATAATCCGATGTTGATTGGGAATATCCGTGGGTCAATCGATTTCAGATCTACCTTTTGTGCAGGGTCTACTGTTTCAGATTGAAACCTACGATGTTGATAGCTCAAGATGACAGTATGTACATCACGAAAGCAACCGCACTGCATCACTGTTAACAGAAAGGTTGAATGCAAATGTAAAGATGAATGTCATCCAGTGTCCGAGATGTATAGAATTCTGAAAGCTGATCGCGTAGAAATTTGCAAGGCCAAAGGCATTTCGCGGACAGTAGTCAAAGCATATCTCCTACACCGTCTCTACTTGGAGTGCTTCCAGAAGAGAAAAGTCGTCGAGCTATTCGATATTAAATAACACTAGAGGGTGGTATCTAATTATCTCATGGCACAATCTATAGTTCATCACAAGCCGAAATCTGTAGTTCCTCAAGAAATTCAGCTTCTGCGCGCCAAGCCAATGCTAGAAAAATGGTAAGCAGTTGAGTGACGTGGGATATAGAACCACTCAGCTGGAGTATATAACTGAGATACCATACAGGGCCGATGACGCGGCATTAGAAACTTTAATATTCCCCAAGTAGATATATACTATGATGTATGACAGTAGTGCCAGTAAGAATGGATAATTAGTTAAATATAATTAAAAGAAGAAATATGACAGATTTTCATTGTTACCGACGTGAAAAATAAAAGAAGAGGAAATAACTATAAGATTACAACACCAAGAAAACTGCATTAATCATGAAATATAAAAGCTTGTGTTTATTGTTTAGTTGTAGATACTAGTTGTGTTCTTACTGTATGGGTTTTGGCCCAACTAGAATCACAACAACAACCATCATTGGTGCGCCAATACTATTGTCGGGGCTATATCAATCGGAACTGGTGTCTTTGGTTGTGGATGCAAATTATCTTCATATGATTACATTCACTAATACGTATTTATTCAGAACTGCTGGCAGCAGCACAAAGAAGTCTGCATATGATTAGAAAACTCTATTTGGTGCATAATGAGGATAGCATAATTAGCACGACCGAGTTCGAGATTTAATTCTTGGAATTGTAAAATCACTAAGAGCTATGAGGAAAAAAAGAGAAGCATGGAATAGTGGATTTAAACCAATATAAATCTAGTATAAAAAAATGACCTAAAAAACGTTTAGGCGGTTTTGTTGGTTAATGACCTTGGTCGCTGCCATTTATCAACCATGACATTTTTCTTGTTAGACTGCCTATGGCTCACTTTCACTTTCACTGATTATAATCCTTAAGTGGTACATACACAAATGATTTCTACAGTAGTGACAATAGAAGGTTGTGACGTATAAAAATAAATTGGAAGTAAAAATGTTTCAAGCAAAAGATGCAAACTCTTTATTATGACACTACTCTTATATAGCATGTAAGGTCTGTATTAGATGTGACTGGACACGGTGGTATTATTAATCGCCGTGTTGGGATTATAAACAAGCCTAGGTCCCGCACTAAAACGTAGAGCTCGTGAGTGTGATGGAGTCGAAAGGATAATGCATATGTAACATACAACAAAACAATCTGAACATTGTGGGAAGGTGAGCTATTTTAAATCTTGTATTTTTTCAACACTATAATCAATCGATTATGTATGAGCAAGATCATGAATATATAAATTATAACCGTGTTTTGGATCGTTGAGACTCTCAAAGATAATTGACCCTTCGCCCGTTATATTTACATCATAGATAGCTTTTTGGTTTTTATTAGTATCACTATTGCTTTATAAACTTCCTCTTCATGGACAAAACGCCCAAAATTGTACGTATATATATATATATATATATATATATATATATATATATATATATATATATATATATATATATATATATATATATATATATATATATATATATATATATATATATATTGCAGAACTTCATTATCCAAGAAGGTTTTCGGCGCCATATATTTTTAATAAGCCTATTTTGATAACATCAAAGGTGCTCAAGTGAGGAAAAGAATTTACCCGGAATAAAATCAAACTGTTTAAACTCCCTTTGCAGGTCGTATTAGTTGGTGATGGGAGAAAAATATAAATATTTCATAATGTCAGATTTCCCTGCCATAGTTAATGGTTTTCTTTTCATTCAAATTTCCTTTTCTGTTTTTTTTTTATATACAGTTCTGATAATTCAGAAGGTTTCAAGAGACTTCTTGAATGAAAAATACTATATTTAGAAAATAAGAGCAACGTACCCGGGAATTCAAAACTTTCTACCCAGCCCGCCATGGCTATGCTGGGTATGTGCAAAAGCTTGCTAGCAGATTCCTTCAAGTCGATGGTTCTTCCCTGATTCTCCCTCCACAAAATATACTGGCCACCGTGAATTGCCAGTCGTATGCTTCAAAATGGCAGCACACCCACAGAAACACAAACAAAAGCGTATTGCAATACAGTGTCCATGGCAGTACGATAGCAAACCGCTGAATGCCCTTGTTTAAGGAAGTTTATTTAAATGAAAAGAAGAGAACTGTATTGCAAACTTGGTTTTAACTACAGACATATGGACTCGGATCACGTTTGTTTTCATATATACCATGCATTTATTTGTTAGTACTGAACTTTACAGTGTGACAGAATCCTAATAAATCATTTCAAGGAAAAGTATCATCAAGATAAACTCGCGGTGAAGTTCCTGTCATAAGTTAACTGTCATTTTCTTTGAGAGGCTAGTCATAGACTTCACTTCTGATCCAGTAATGATCCCTTGTTACTCACCGTGCACTGTTATCAAAATGTACACAGACAACTACACAATATTGCTCTTTTTCTAAATAATAGCAATTTCCTTTAATTCAATGTCCAGGATGCCTAACTTATCCATCACAACCAAAATTAAGGAGGAAACTCTGCTTTCAAAATAAACTGATACTACATTGGTGGAAACGGACCAGAAAGTAATAATTGTGAACGGAGTCCTAACAGGTCAATTTTTCTATGACCAATTGTAGTCACAGCCTTATATTTTTATGTCATATTTACTTCAATTTTACCCAGGAAGCAAATTGTAGGATCTTGCATTGTGGAGAAGTGAGACAGCATTCTGTGGTATTTTCGTTAAATCGCCAATGCAATGCCTCCATTACGTGCAAAATATCGTATATGCCAGATTATTTTAATAATACTGAATCAAGAAAGATAATGGTCCATTAAAACCAGACAATATCGACGTTTCATCACATTATGAGCCTTGTAATTTCTCGATGGAACTGAGATACCCTGAGACAAAGGAATTGAAAATCCCCTGCCATTTTCCACATGTGTACGAATTAATCCGATGCTAATCAGCGATATCCGTTGGTCAACCGATTCAGTCGAAAGCTGGCACACAAGATTTAACGACCCCACTGTTGTAAACATAAAAATGCAACACCACGCTATGTCGGATTATCTTTAGCCCAAGTGTGGTCTTCAATGTATACGCTGCTGATCAACAATATTCCCCCGAAGTAGTTGCATCTTGTGCACGCTTTTTCTTCTCAGATTCGTTTAAAGAAAGCGGACCTGCCTCTCTTCGTTTACTTTCGAATAATTTTATGCGCCACATGCGAATGTTGCTATTAGTGGATTAGTCACTAACGGAATTCGTAGAATGTTTCCCATCACTACTTTTGGAGCACTCCGGGGAACAAAAACACATCGGAATTACGTGCGACTTAGTTGGCTGAATTAAGGGGTGGTACCTCTTAATTCTATACTGAATATTTGAAGGTCGTTTATAACTAACATCTTGATTTTTTTTTAAAAAAACACTCTAT